CATCCAGGATTTTGCCATTGGTTGTTTGCTTTTTAGCTTTTTGATGTTAAACCCCTCATGTTTAAGAAAGGCATCAGTTTGTTTCGAACACCATAAAAAATTGGAACCCGGCATTCGCAGTAGAATTTAACGCAAATGCCCATTTTGAAGTCTAGTGACTGCTTCAAAACGCACATCGCGGTGTTAAAGCAACCCTTCTCGCGGACCCGAAATAAAGCCTAATTCCATAATGTGTTAATTGCTGACGTGTAGTCCGTGGTTTGAGACTGTAAAACAATCCTTTGGTTTGCACTAAGTCACTTAGCATATGCCAGAAGCTAGTTCTGAGGTTACCAATGCAATGTTCCTGTATAGGTAAACAATTCTTCGTACCTGTAAAGCAGTCAATGATACTTTAAACGTAAAATACGACTTCCAATGTTACTGTTGCATCCAAAACTATTGGTCAAACGATCAAATTGTAGACTTTTGTCGTGAAATATGCATTCTAACGATGACAACCTTAAAACTCACAAATGCAGAGTAGTATGACTAATTAATTTACGGACGACTTAGGCAAACTTATTTATGCAGCTGAATGCAGAGGATGTTTTAGGCAACCCGGCGAACGATACAAAACCCATGACAAAAGCTCTCTATGCTCGAGTAAATGGTTCTTCCTCTGATAGCTACCTATCTTTGAGCAGTCTGGCGTTCGAAATACTCGAGACTCTAGCGATTTTCAAGTCAGTCAAAATTAATTAAGTTCATCCTGCTACCAACAGATTTCGCATTACTATTCCAACCGTTTACGTTTAAGTATAATTTACGCATTTTGGGCAAGTTGAACATTTTTTGAGTTTGAAAATTTTTGGCTTTAAGCGATCGAATCAAATAGCTTTTTATAAACAGTTAGCCAAACGAAAGCTGAGTGAACAGTGGGATAAGTAATTTAGGCGTCGGTTTTAACATATAATTCCAAATATGTTACTGGATCAACTGAGTATTTTGTTTTCCAACGATTTTTTCATCTAAAATGTGCACATTCCAGTAACGCTAGGCAGCGTAGTTCAACTTCATGTTAGATCCGCAAGTAAGCTGTCGTACGAAAACTTTTTGAAGACCAGTGTTACGTTTAATTTTTACTGTCAAAAGAATGTAAAGCACGTTAAGCACACAACGCATTTGTAACTCTTTCACAATTTACAGTTAGCGTGTACTATCAGGTACCAAAAAAATAAAGTGTGAGTTTAAATTCCAAACTTCGTTTTCGCTCAGTACCGATTGATTAAGTGCAAGAGTATTATTTATTAGCAAGTAATATGCTGCGAAGATATTTCAGACACAACTCAATGCCAACATTTTAATGCATTTCTTCTCAGTAAGGCACGCGATAAAATTATAGCTTAATATCATAGTCATGCATAGTTGCACAGCTTTTATCAAAGCGAAAATAAAGTAAGATTACAGATATTTTTTCGGATACACTTTTCTTACTCGAACGTGGCTGTTCATATGGATAGGTTTCAGGTAAACCAAACGGTAAATAATTCCCTACCTCCTAAAAATAATGGAGACTGAATTTTTTGCCTCTTATAATAATTGTATTTTTGTTCTCAATACACGGCACTAATAAAATTAGGCAATGCTCTCCAATTTAGGAATCCCCGGTTGCCAAGCTCCGGCAAATATCCGGTATGTTACGATGAAAGTTTACACTAGCAAATTACGCTTTGCAGTATTAAGTATTTCACTAATTATTTCGTCCTTGGTGTAGTCGCTATCTGTTCTGATGCCTATTGAGTAGTGGAAGCTGAAATACAGAAAGCACACATAGTTCTCTAATTTATAAACACTTCTTGTTTCCATGCAAAAATAGAATTTTTGCAATAGAAAGGGAGAACAAAATCTGTCTCATTGTTTTAGTTGCTAATTCACTTTCACTTGAAAAATGATCGACGGCGTAGAAATTAATTTGTGGAATAGTCCCTGAATGTTATTTTCTATGATACCATGTTAAGTAAATATTAAGGTTTCTCAAGCGCATCTGCTTTAGAATCTGTAGTGTTTGCAGTACTTTTTCTCCTATAGTTATGGTTTAGCTTCCAGCAAACCTTCAGATATAACGCAAACTGTCATTTGTAGATCAGGACTCCCGTAAGCTGCTATCCAGTAAATTTGGAATCAGCATATTTGCTATCTGACTAAACAGTAAATTGCAATTAAGGTGCAATAAAAACACTCTCTCGCAATCATTTGGAAAGCTTTACCACAAGCTAAGCCGTTCTTTGTGTGATGTGATATCCATTGCAAAGTAAATTTTGCGCCGTTTTACAAAATTCATTTCGTCAACACTGTCTGTCAACACTGTCTACGCAATTTTATAAACTTAGCATTTTCCGTCTTCCAATTTTTTATAAATGTGAATCCCTTGACTTAGCATTTATTTAAGACATCTTCCACTATGATAAATCTCTAAATCTCCTACTAACTTTATCAGGACTTAGATAATGTATTATTTTTACTTTTTAAATGTGTCGTGTATTAAGACACTTCGTATTAAATACCTCGATCACTGCAGATTATTCTACTTTAAATATGTCTCAAAGGTTGTTGTTTTCTAAGACTATGCTTCGTTTTCTATTTCTTCAGGCAGATGCTAAAATCAGCTTCAATCGACATCACGTCTGCTCAGACTTATTGTAATTGCTGAACATCCGCATGAAGGAAACGCAGAATTCCTCTAAAACGGCCTCTGATATTGAGTGTTCAACCCCTGTAGAAAATAAGCTAACCTCAAAACTCTCTTCGATTCTCGCAGTAAGAAGGCGTCCGAGGCCCACAGAGATATCAACTATGAGGCAAACTCGCGCATACACTTCCGAGCAGCCAGGTTATACTGATGCCTATCCAGCAACACTACCCGCTGGTTGCGTTACCCCT